CTACAGTGAAGTAAGGGGAACCCAAATGGCCGGCTCAAGGTGTAGGGCCGGCTCGAGGTGGCCACTCTGAGTGGTTTTGGCGAGCCCACTTCGGAAGTGTGTTGGTGCCCTCTCCTCCTACCGAGGAGCCGAGGTAGAGTCGCCGAGGAAGAGGAGTGTTGGTATGGCGATGCGCCACTCGCCCTATCCTCCGCGACTCTGATGGGTCCGCGCCGTTGATTGATGCAGAGGTGATGGGGCTATAGAATGAGAGGAGTGTCGGTATTGCGAGGAGCTGCTCTCCCTACCCTCCGCAGCCAGTTTGCGGCGTAGCCATAGTAAAATGTAAAATTATGTTTACGTGTATATTTAACAATATCATCAAATTAGTACAATCAAGTATGGAGATTTTAAAAGCATCATGGAGCTTTATTTACAAATACAGGTTGGGCCATCTAATGTTTGTAATCGGAACTATAGGTTCTTCTTTTAAATTATAGCTTATCTTGATAGGATTCTGCCAGTGTCAAGTCAGTCATGGGAATGACTAACACTCCATGTGCAATATATACGGAGCTGTTTTACACAGGTTAGGCCATCTAACGTTTGGAATCGGAACTATAGGTTCTTCTTCTTCTTTTAAATTATGGCTACTCTTGATAGAATTCTGCCAGTGTCAAGTCAGTCATGGGAATGACTAAAACTCCATGTGGTATATATACGGAGCTGTTCTATACAGGTTGGGCCATCTAACGTTTGGAATCGGAACTATAGGATCTTCTTCTTCTTTTAAGTTATAGCTACTCTTGATAGCATTCTGCCAGTGTCAAGTTAGTCATGAGAATGACTAACACTCCATGTGGTATATATACGGAGCTGTTCTATACAGGCACGTCGCTGCTGTTGCTCAGAGTGTGCGTGAACAATCAACTCGTCATCGTTCTAAAGAATTGAACATTTACCGCACTTCTTCGAGAAGAATTTGCATAAAAAAGTAAAGAAATTTGTATCAAATTTTTAGTTCTAATAACAACTTTGCTCCCGTCTCTTACAAGCTCGTGTACAGGATTATGTTCTTGAAAAATGAAAGTTAAAAGATAAGTTATGTTTTTGTTTAAAAATAAGATAATTTATAATAAGATAATTATATTTTTTATAAACTTTGTAAGAAACAAATTTTTACGAATTTTATTGCGTTGAATTAGTTTAAATTAATTCCTAAAAACGTATTTCATTTAATGTGTTGTGTCGGAGTAAAAATAAGGAATCATTACTGACTTTTAAAGAACGAAATACTTAAAAAAATTTAAAGTTTAAACACAAAATTTACATTACAATATAACCTACGGTACTAAATAATATGTAAGCCACATAAGGAACCTTTAAATTGCGTAATGAAATTTGAAAAAGGATATCCGCTGTAAAACTTTCAATAGGTTCTGTCCAAATAAATACGAGAATTTACTACCCTTGATTATATGCAATTCCAATAACCGATCCAGCATAAAAGTTTTTTTCTGGCGAGGTTTGTGCTCTAGCATATATTATTCGTCCACTACTAAACATACGTTCTTCATAACATCCTCTTCATTTTTTGAAGTCAGCTGAAATATAATGCCAAAACACTCTCCAATACGAATTAAATAACGCTTTGGAAATATATATTTGAAGAAATAACGTCCATCGAACTTTATTGCTTTAAATATGTAGTCATTGATATTTTTTATATCAATGGGCGTAGTACATAAATCATAATTTTTAAAGAAATAAATATATTAATTCCCAGTATATGTATGAATTTTAAATGTATGTATACAAAAACAAAAAGTAGTTTTAATAAAAAAGTAATATAAAATTCTGTAAATGTTAGGAACAACCACAATTTAGTGACATGATGACATCAGTTATTCGACTCTACAGTCAGTAATTCATAAACGGGGCAATATATTAAACCCTTTTATAACAAAGTCACTGAAAATATAAAATGTCTCTATTACACACAGTACCTACAGTTAAAATATTTAATTAAACATATTATAATATTAACGAATATATTATACGTGGTAGAGGCATGCTGCAACTATATTACAGTTGTAGCACGAATGGGCTGGCTTCACCGGGGAAGGTCCACGGTACTCACAGAATACCAGCGGAAAATAGCAGCTAAATGTTGCTGTTTCGTATGGTGAGTGTAGAGAACCGGAGACCCTTTTTACTGGATACGAGGCATTCCATCTTAGTAGTCAGGGGTGACAACGCATCTGTATTTTGATTCTTAATCGAGGATAGATGTAGATGTCTATAAGCCACAGCATCCACTTACCATCAGGCGGGCTGTCTCACTTATCAACCTTCTATATAAAAAATAATACATGGTTGATAATAACTCCCGGGAATGAGGTGATCGCTTCCAAGCTATTATCAAATTCATAATTAATTGTACACACTACGTATTTATTTGTAAAATGATAATATGAAAAAAACCCCTCTGGATTTGTTTGTGCTTTCCAGGACTGAATTTTTTTTCGGGGTAAGTGGTGAAAGTAAAAGAGTGACATTCAAGTACTATTTTTATAATCCACTAGCTGGTCCGGCAGGTGATGTTCTGCTCTTTTCGGAATGAGGTGCGATGGTGATTTCACTCAGGATTCACTTTGGACTATTGCAGTGTAAATATAAAATTTATTACTAACTCTACCATGGCACCACGTAGAGTCTTTTTTTTTACATGGTCTTCGTTATGGCTCTATTTTTCAACATTGTATAGGAATAAAGTAAAGTAAAGTTGCAGCCTATTTACATCCCATTGCTGGGCACAGGCCTCCTCTCATTTCTGAGAGAGTTTTAGAGCAAGGAAATGTCCACCGCGCTGCCCCGATGCGTGTTGGCGAACTTCACATGTCTTCGAAAATATTTTTTTCTTATTTCTCAGACATGCAGATTTCTTCACGATGTTTTGCTTCACCGCCGAGCACATGGTAAATCAGCACTTAAAATTGCAATTAACAATTTCATTGGTGCCGGCGGGGATCGAACCCGGGTTGCTCGAGTACCGTGAAGCTTACAGCGAGCGCTAACCATCTGTGCTACCACGACTCAGTTTCGGAATTTTAAGTTGAAATTAGTTTTAACACATAAAAGTTATAGGGAAGGCTTTGCTGATCAGCTTATGACAGAAAATGTATCTATCCGTGTGAAGCAGCATTACCTACCATACAATTTTATCGATTTTGCGTTAACGAACTTGTAAGCTTGAAAAACTCTTTTGGAGAATTGGAATGGACCTACTTCATCAAAAATGGAGATAGACATGCCAGATGATGTTAATTTTAGGCACTGAATCAATCAGTTGAGTTTAAATTATAGCGGTTGTCAATATCATTACCTCTTTCCCGGTATTTCTAATTTGATTCTTGTTCCACAAGCTTTGTAGAAGCAACGGATATTGGATGTTTATTCAAGCTTAAGAAACGAAAATAGATTATGCCGAATGGAAAAATATTTTCAAATATTTTTGTCTTGTTACTTACTTAACTGTCACGTTGTTTAGATTTATGTTAGCTAAAAGAATGTGAATATTGTATCTTTCAGAATTCTGATTACCACTTCATCTGGATAACTTTGCTAACAATTGTTTTATTTTTATTTCATATAATAATTTACTTCATAGTTTTGCAATATCAAACTGCTGCTGCAGTTGTAAGTGCCGAATTTTGAGTCAAACCAAAATACTCATATTTTTATATTTTTTGTTGTAGCATTGAATGTTTTAGAAACTGAACTTTTATTGTTCTATTTTTTTTATTGCATTAATTACATTAATGGTTATATCTATTATCTGAGGTAATTCAAAATTATTCTGTAGCTCTACTTCTATTTAAGTATTTCTTTATTTTCTTAAACTATAATTAGTAACAAATGCGGTTAGGACAAATTTAATTTGTGTAATGGGATATTTAAAGCCTTTATACTTTGTTTGGTTCACAATAGTTTAGCTTGATTGCTTGGTCCTTTTGATTTTCGGCCGCGTAGTTAAAATTTTCATAGACGTGTGTTTTCTGTAGTGGTTGAGGACGCGGCGGCACTCTCTCGGCACGCCCGCTAAATAAATTCATTAGTTAAATCACCGCCGGCGGCTTTTAACTTCAAAGGGCCAGCTTGCCGCCCCGCTGAGGGCGCGATCGCTCAAGTTTTTACTTAGAAAACTCTGTAAACAAAATGATATGGTGCGTCCGAATGTTTGATCCGCCTTTATTATCTGTATACAGAGATAATGTTTAACTGGTAAACGCCCTCTCTTTGTGGTAATTGTACGGATGTAATAACTTTTGTGTGTCTATGCGTAAACAAATCTTTGAACTTTGAATTGTCTTCTATATAGAAGTCCTCAGGTATTATGCCACCCATTATATATTTTTTGGTCATAATCGAATGTGCCATAATTATATTTATTATATTTACAAAACTAGGTGACCGCAGTAATGCTGTATTCTGAAATTCACAACAATTTGTCAAGGCAATGCGTAACCCATATGTAACCGGTGGCAATCATTGCGACTTGAGAGCTATTCCATTCAATGTTTTTATTTTACCGCGTCCCTATTACTTCTCTCAACATTAAAGCGAGACAGAAAAACACGTGTGTGGTCCACTATGTAAAACTTCGGTCGTTTCCGTCGAAACTCGGGCTGCTCCGTATCCCAGAACGGCAACATAATCGACCGAATCATGATGGCAGCTCAACACATTTTGTGTATCTATACAGCCAGGCCACTCAGGCCAGTACTTGATTCAGTGTTGCTCGGATCGCGGCAGTGTAGAGACACGCGACTGAAGTGTCACTGTAATATCGAAACTCGGTATCGTGCCGTGTTTCGAATGGTTAAGTGCTGAATAGAAGTGGATGATCAGGTTGTAACAGTGTGTGGTTATGTGGCGGCGAGTGATATGACAGCGTGCGCCGCCAGACGGATACCGGCCGTCTTCATGAGGATACTGGTGACAAGTCTGGCCCCGAGATCATGGTGGCTCCCGATTCCGAGGCTCCTTCGAATCCTCGGATAGCGGCTGCTACGCACGAGAGCCCTACCACCGCTGAGGCGCGCCACAGCGCGGATCTTTATATACGTACCAGTTGGGTGGACGCAGCGTTAGCACTCTCCGAACTTGAAAAGGTGCACTAATCACTTGCTATACCATACTCTAGTACCAAATAACGATTGTCATAATGCACGTGCTAGTGTTTTTCTGCGAATGTCAATTGCAATCAAAAACGCGGCAGCGTAATCTGTAGCGCCAACTGGTGGGCAGAGAACGCATTACTCAAGGCCGCGCGTATTTTAAAGCTTTTATTCAAAAAGTTTACTCGATCTAATACTCTCTAATCCAAGAACAAAATGTAAGAACGTTTTATTTTAATCTTTTTATTAGCTGTTAATATTCTTAATATATCGTATATGTTAATATTCTTAATTTATATTTTATTAAGGTTTGTTTCAAAATATAGTAATAATTGAAATATATTTATAACAAACAAACAATCTAAAGTGGGGTAAATTTTTAAAAACTTGATAAGTTCATAATTATGTTACAAAGTTAAGAAATCATGTAGAAAAATATCAAACTTCCGTTTTCAACCACAAAACAGAGCAATTTACTCATACAAACTAAACGAAATTGTTGGGTAAAGTACATACAGAATGGCCATTGGCGAACGTGTTCGGGGAAGGTAGCCCTTTCCTAGAAGGCCGCACGCATGCTCTGCGGTGGTCCGCACCCTTACTAGGAAGCATTGCGAAACTGGGCTCCAAAAGAAGTAAAAAACGGTAGTTGTATAGTAAAACAGACCTTCACGCTATAAGTTCAATAGGTACCAAACGTTGCCAAAAAGTTGCCAAAATGTCAATTGCTATCGACGTTTTCTTTCATAGTAATTCTGTTGAGTTAGGTTGGACATTTTATTTATTTTCTACAATACCAAAATTATTTTTAATAGTAGTGAAGAAAACTGTTATTATAAATAAAATAGTAGGAAGTTTTTACGTGGTTCGGACGGTCGTATGCAAGATGAAGCAATTAAGGCCCTGGAGACGGGGATCGAGGGGCCGCGCACGCGCACTGCTACGGCGCCGATAGAGACATCAACGTGAAACGTACACCATTTACTCTATTAGACCAGAACATTTAAAAAAAAATGTAATATAAATATATGCAAAACAAATTATTTCGTTTCCGTGTGGAAGTCTAATGTAATTTTCTAACATTACTGAAATTATGGTCATATTTTAAGTTTCTTTTTAGAGCGCGACTTCTTTTCGTACGAAAAACAAAAGAAATAGTTTATGCTTCATTTTACACAGCAAATAAGCGAACTTGTAGTTTTTTAAAGGAGTTTTTCGAAATATCCAAAAAATTCCATATTTATGAAAATAATAAAAACAAAATATTATATGCAATATGCACTCGAATATTTTCAACGACGAACAATTGTTAATAGTCGGGGCTATATACATATAAACTACAAAAACTTCAAAGTGTCGTTTCCAGTCATTTGTTGATCCCCTAGGAAACGGGAATTTCATAGGCATTTTAATCTTATTTTTTATAAATATGTCATTACACAACTAGCGATTCGCCCCGCCTTCGCACGGGTGATTTCAGGATCTCGACAACAGTGCCATCTATCGGGTCTAATTGTGCATCTAAACCAACCAATGACCCATTCAAACATACACAAAAAAATATCAAAATCGGTCGATCAGGTTTTGAGTTTTAGCGATACTAAAGGACAACAATTGATTTTTATATATACAGAAGATAATTAAACATTGTGATTTTTTCGTGATGATGGTGTAAATATTATTTGAATTATCTAGGATTTTATAGTATTTTCTTCTGTTTGGGATTGGTAAATATCTGTAAAAAATTTAAGTTATAAACTATAACACACATACAAAGTAATATGTATACATAAAGAATATTTTAAAGTAATATATAAAATGAAATACTATAAAATAAACACAACCAGACGGAAGCTCAGGGCAGGCCTAACGACCCAACAGAGGAGCTTAACAGCCGAGGGTTAGGGGAAAGGTTAAGAAATCGGTGGATGATGCGACTGCGAGCGGTATTCAGGAGTACCGCCTTCTACATTTGAGCCCGGTGGTCTGTCACCGAGTCCCAGTCGCTTCTGATGACCTGAAAGGCTGACCGGGATTAACTCGTTATGGAAACGTTTACAAGAATGTTGTAATGTTTATATAGGAATATCATATTATTGTTAAATGTTATTTAAATTATTATTAGCACGAAAAGAAAGAATATTGGATTTTAAATAATATAAAAAGATTATAATACTTTTTATATTGAGTATATCCTATCTAAACATTTTATATATCTACAAGACCTCACAGAACTTGCCTCTTGGAATTGAGACATCTTGTGGTTTCCGATCACACGTCTCTTTTCTTCCTGATAAAGTAACGGATGCCTTCCTTTTCTTTAAGGCTTATTACATTGTCTCTTTCTAACTTGTTTTTCCCACATATAGTGCATCTTCCTCCAAACATTGTGCGTGGCAGAGTACAGCAGCTGCGTTGGAGACCTATAAATGATTGTTACTACACCCACGATTTTTAAAATCTGTGTCTGTTATTTGGAAGAATATTGTATTATTTTAATTTATTTTATTATATATGCAAACACATTTTAGCTTTTTATAAAGTTACTCATATTTCATTCATAAATTTCTTTTAATAAATTTTATTTGAACTGAAACCACTACGACATGCTTTGCGCTTTTAATCATATTTTATAGTGAATTGTATCGTTTTATTACAGTGAATAACAATTTGTCAACCATAAAATCATTTACTAGATCAGCATACTGCGTAAGCTTTGTTTGCAGCCCGTGGCAAGTTTTCACATCAATGCGCATTGGCTCATTTTTCCAAGGCATTAACTCATGCTTCCAATCGAGTAGTTAATATGCCATATGCAATATAATCTCACAGAAACTGTAGCGCTTATCTATGTATTTACCTACTATAGTCTAGAAGTACTGATATAGTTGCATTACCACCTATCATATGGCCGCTTCGACCGGTTTCACTTAGTGCCCAACTTGGGAACTTTCTCGAATTTATAATTTACCTTTTTTGATTGAGGTATTAACAAATAGTTTTATTTATGTATTCTGACATGATAAATTCTTACATGAAAGAGAATGTGATATCGATTTTGCTGATGTTTTATTTCACGGATTTTTGATGTCTTGTGTGTTAATTGCTTTTCATCTAGTTTTAGTATAATTATTTAATTGGTGAAAGTAGTTTGCAAAAAATCACGTAAAGAGTAATAAGATTGACTGTTGTCATCATCATCATCATTACATCTCTTCACAAGTCCACTGCTGAATATAGGCCTCCCCCAAGGAGCGCCACAAAGCACGGTCCCGAGCCACCTGCATCCATCGACTTCCTGGATGTCTTACCAGGTCGTCATTCCATCTAGTGGGTCTACACTTCGTCCGCCGGTACGAGGCTACCACTCGAGAACCTTTTTCCCCCATCGGTTGTCGGTTCTTTGAGCTATATGGCCGGCCCATTGCTACTTCAACTTACTGATCCTTTGGGCTATGTCGGTAACTCTGGTTCTACTGCGTCTATTGACTGTTGTACTAATCTTTAAATATTAGCAACTAATATTTACACTATCTGATAGAAAGTGAGTGCTGTTTATGTACTGTGGCCATAGATATCTGCATCTCCCCTCGATGAAGAATGAAAATGCAGATACGTTGTACTCCCGAGAACTAAGATGTCATGCCTCGTTTTCATTAAAAAAGGGAATCCTGTTCTCTGCACCCACTATACTAAATACAGTAGCATTAAGCTCCTGTTTCATATAATATAGCTGCAATATGGCTCTACCACGTAGAGATCTTGTCATGAAATATAAGTGTCACAGTAAACTAACTCTGAGTTTTTGTTCGATAATTCTTTTCTAACTGTTGTGGTGGCGGTTTAAAATTAAAATAATCCATCACCATATTTCGTCGTGCGGGTGTCGCGAGAATCGACGAACTAATATGCCAGAAAAATCTTGTGGATTCCAAGCAAAATAAAATATATTATATTAAATAAATATTTCATTGTTTTGAAACACCTAATTATATTTGGGTAACTGCATTAGATACACCTAATTTCAATCCCCATCGTGAAAAAGTCTTCGATAACCGTCTGACTGAAACAAAGACAGAGGTGATACCAAAAATGTCCTTTTAATGTGTAAATAGTTTAATGGAATACATGCATTTGTGTGTGTGTTTTTTCTTCAATTTTACTTTATTAAGATATCTGTTTGGTATCTGTGAAAATATGTTTTTTTTATATACTTAAATATAAATAAAACGAAATGGAAACATTATAATATCGGATATTTATTGGAAATTCAAGCATCTCTGCGTATTTTAATTTTGTTTTAAATTGGCGTATGGTAAAGGTTATTATTTTGCGTTATTCATGGATGTGTTTTTTTATTATGGATATAAATATCTATTGGAATATGAAAGTATTCGAAAATTCTTCGAAATTTCCTTGTATTTTTTATAGAAAACAAATTGTACAAAAGATTATTTTATTGGAAGACAAATGGTGTATCTTCTTTACAATATGTAGGAACAGTTTATATTTAAAATTGTAAAGACAGTACTTACTAAAAGGAAGAAATAAACCGGTGAACTAAATAACGGCTTCGTAGACTTTATCATACATCAACACAATAACAGTCATTTAGTGGTGTGGAATTTGTGATCCTAATTTTGCTATACCTATCATATTTAAAGTCATTGTTGTTGCTGCATTATCTGGAAGTCACCTCTTACTAGACCCGTGGTATAATTAATATCATGAAATAGTGGATTCTCTTACGCTGTCACTACATGTCTTCTTTCAAGGACTAACTATATCTCATTAGCTGTAGTTTTTCTAATATGCTCTATTATATTATATTCTGGTTTTTAAGATACAGTTATTTATTACAAACGAGTTTGGAAGCCAGGGTTCCATTTCATTGTTAAAAGATTTGTGGCAAATAAAGAATTTGTTATTATTATCCCTAATATCGTAAAAATTTGTCGTTACATTTTCTACTCGATTTTCATTTGATTTTGCTT